ATGAATTAGAAATGAGCAGTTGAGCTTAGGCTGCTTCTGGGTCTTCATTTCTTATCGATGGATCATGAAATTTAGTGAGTTGTGTCACATTTGTGTAATGAGAGGGTAACAGTGTTGGAGCTCCTTGGCGAGAATGCAGCGTGTTGTAGCAATAACTGTAGATGCCAGCAGTAGGGGACACAGGGCTGGCAGGGAAGTGATGGAAAGAGGCCCAGGGGCTGGGGTTGTGGCTCAGTGGTAGAGCGCTCGACTAGCACATGTGAGGCCCTGAGTTCGATCCTCAGCACCACATAAAAATAAATAATAAAACAAAGGTATTGGGTACAACCCCAAAAGTAAATATTGAAAAAAAAAAAAAGAGAGAGAGAGAGAAAAAGAAACAGGCACTGGTTAGAAACTGAGCATTAATTCTTTTATCTCAACAGTGTGTATGAAGAATTTCTAATGATGGTAAATATTTCTTACCCTGTGTCATGATAGAAATGTTTGACAGATGCTGCTGGGGTGGGCAGGCAGAGCCTACAGTATGGGATCAGAATCAAAATTTTTCAGAACTTTTTGCCTTAAATATTTTCACTTAAATCATCTTTCACAGGACATCAGTCCTTCAAACCAGATATGATATCCCAGTTGGAGCGAGAGGAAAAGCTCTGGATGAAGGAGATCCACACTCACACAGGTAGGCTCTCAGATGCGAGCTGCAGTGGAGTCATGGTGGCCCACGGTCTGCCTCCATTTGGTAGGATTTCTTCTCCACCCTCCACCAGAGAGGCCTCAACCTGTCACACCACACCACTCTCCTCTGCAGACCCCCAAAGGCTCTCATTCCACCAGTAAGATCCAGCCTTTGTAAGGGGCTTGTAAGGCCATGGAGGATTTGTCATTCCCGTTACGTTACTATTCTCCATTTTTCTCCTGTGATCTCCCTCCTTGTTTATCTCTGCTATCCTTGTTGGTTCAGATATGATCATTATGGTTCTGCATCAGAGCCTTTCCTTTTTCTCTGGCTAGAATGTGTTTATCCAATAAACCTCCAACCCCTCCCTCCCTCCCTCCCTCTCTCTCTCTCTCTCCCCCCCCTCCTTCCCTCCCTCCCTCTTTCCTTCCCTCCCTCCCTCCTTCCTTCCTCTACTGAGGATTAAACCCAGGGTGCTCCACCACTGAGCTACATCCCCAGCCCTATTTTTATTTTGAGACAGCGACTCCCTATATTGCGCAGGCTGGCCTTTGTGATCTCCTGCTTCAGCCACACGAGTTGCTGGGATTGCAGGCATGTGCCACTAGGCTTAGCTCCAGCCCCTTTCTTATTTCACTGGTATCTGCTCAGAGGTCTTCATGCGAGGCCTGCTCTGATCAGCCTGCTAAAAGTGCTATCTTCCCCACCCTCTCCATGGCAGCTTGCCTCAGTTTGTGTCTAAGCACTATGCCACCAAACTAGCTAACATATTTGTTTTTAGTCGTAAAATATATCACATAAGCTTGAGCATTTTAACCATTTTTCAGCATACAGTTGCACTAAGTACATTCACATTACTGTGCAGCCATGATAATGTCCATCTCCAGAACTTTCCACTGTTCCAGACTGAAATTCTGTACCCATTAAGCAATGACTCCCTGTTCTTCCCATCCCTCCAGCCCCTATTCTGCCTTCTACCTCTGTTAATTTGGCTACTCCAAAGTACTTCATGTAAGTGGAATCATGTATCTGTCCTTCTGTGTCTTATTTCAGTTATATGTTATCCTCAGGGTTCATCTATGTTGTAGTATGCGTTGGAATTTCCTTCTTAAGGCAAAATAACATTCAACTGTGGTCTGTACCACATTTTCTTTTCCCATCCACCTGATGGACATTTGGGTTGTTTTCACCTTTGGTCTCTTGTTGAATAATGCTGCTGTGAACATTGGTATACATGTCTGTTTACCTTCCTGCCTTCCTTTCTTGTACGTTGATAACCAAGAAGCAGAATTGCTGGGTCTTAAGATAAGTCTGTGTTTGATTGTGAGAAATGGTTACAGTTTTCCCCAACAGCTGCCTCTTTTTACATTGCTACACCAGTGCACAGGGATTCTGATTTCTCCACATCCTTGCCAATACTTGTTTTGTTTTTAAATAATCATCCCGATGGGGTCAAGTGGTATCTCATTGGGGTTTTGAGTTGCATTTCCCTAATGATTACTGATATTGAGCATCTCATGCTTATTGGACTTTTGTGTTTCTTCTTTGGAGAAATGTCTATTCAAGTCCTTTGCCTATTTATTTTTAAATCTTTCTTTTTTTATTGGTGTTAAGTTTAGGAGTTCTCTCTCTGGTTTTTTTTTTTAATTGAGTTCTATTTATAGACTGGATTTTAATCCCTTATCATATACAAGATTTGCAGATCTTTTCTCTTGTTGTGTTTGTTGCCTTTTTAACTATTTTGGTAGTGTCTTTTGAACAAAAGTTTTAATTTTTGTGGACTCCAGTTTTTTTTCTTTTGTTGACCCTGTGTTTGTTTTCATATCCAAAAAATTGATTGTAAATCCAAGGTTGTGAGACTATTTCCATGTTTTCTTCTAAGAGTGGTACAGTTTTAAATCTAAATTTAGGTCTTTGCATTTTGAGTTGACTTTTGTACATGGTATAAGATAGGTTTTTTGATTTGTGTTGTTTTGCAAAAGCACTTTACCCCTAGGCCTATCTTCATTTTTCGCATGTGAATTTCCAGTTTATTGCACAACCGATTACTGAATTTGTTGAAAGAAAAAATTGTCCTTTTGCCATTTATTTGTCCTACCAGCTTTATCAAACACCACTTGACCAAAAGTGTGAGGCCTGTTTCTAGGCTCTTATCTCATTAGTTAGTAGGTCTTTTTGTATGTGTGTGGGGGAAGGTATACCAGGGGTGAAACCCAGGGGTGCCTAACCACTGAGCCACATCCCCAGCTCTTTTTATTTTGAGACAGGGTCTTGCTAAGTTACAGAGGCTGGCTTTCAACTTGCGATTCTTCAGCCTCAGTGTCCCAAGCTGCTGGGATTACAGGTGTGCACCACCATACCTAGCTTGTCTTTATGTATTTATGTCTTTATGCTAGTATTACATTTTGAGTATGATAGCTTTGAAACCAGGAAGTACGCATTTTTTTCTTCTTTTTAAAATTGTTTTGCTATTTAGGTTCCTTGAGAGTCCATAAAAAATTTTAGGGTGAGTTTATCTATTTCTGCAGGGAAAAAAATGTGATTTTAGTGAGGATTTTTATAGGGATCTCATGCAATGTGTAGATTACTTTGAGTAGAAGTGATAATATTAAGTCTAATCCATGAAAATGAGAGGTCTTTCCATTTGTTTATGTCTTTCTTAATTTCTTTCATCAAGTAGTTTCTGGTGTACAAGTCTCTTGCCTCCTTAGTTAATTCTTGTGTATTTTATTATTTTTGATGCTATTGTGAGATTTATTTTTTTTGTATAGTTTGTTGTTATAATGTAGAAACAGCTGTTTTGGGGGTGTTTTGTGTCCTGCTACTTTGTTAAATTGATTTATTCTATCAGCTTGAGCATGTGTGTAATCTTTATGATTTTCTACACATGTCATCTATAAACAGTAAAAATTTTACTTCTTCCTTTCTAATTTAGACGCCTTTTTTGTTTTCTTGTCTAACTGCTCTGGTCACGTTACATTCAATGTAGAAAGCATGCATCCTTGCCTTGTACTGATCCTAGAGGAAAAGCTTTTATTCTTTCAACATTGAATATGTTTGCTGTGGGTTTTTCATTTATAACTTTTTGAGGTGGTTCTGTTCCTAATTTGTTAAATGTTTTTATCATGAAAGGATTTTTAATTTTGTCAAATACTTTTTTCCCACCTCAATTTAGAGGATCATATAGTTTTCCCCCTTTGTTATGTTCATTTTCTATATTACGTTGATTTTCATGTTAAACCATCCTTACATTCCATGAGTAAATCTCATTGTTGTTTCTGGGCATGTGTCGGGACTGAGTGTGTGTGTGTGTGTGTGTGTGTGTGTGTGTGTGTTCATTCTTCCAACTCCTCCACACACTGGGAAATTAGATCTTTAGAACCAGAGTCAGATCCCATGTCAGGGCCTGCAGGGTTCTGTCAACACATCACCTCTTTTCCCTCGCTGGGCCTCTTGGTCCCCCTGCAGCTATCCTGGCCAGTGCTCACTGTGCTTTCTCGTGCATTTTCTCATCCTTAATCTGCATTGGGCCCCAACAGACCAGCCTTCATGTAGCTCACATGGATGTTGGAGGAACTTCTCTGCTCCCTCCAGTTTGGGGGTAGGTACTGGATCCCTGCTTCCTTCATCATGACATACAATAAATAAAAATGCATTGAGAAGTAGCTTCATAAACTGGAAAATGGGAAAGGCACACACAGGTGCAGAGAAACACATGCTCAGGGGAGAGGAATACTCAGGTCCTGGCTGACCATGGATCTCGTGCCGTTTTAAGCGTGGTTCTGTCTTGATTCAGCATTCTCCTTATCTCTGTAGGCCTTTGTTTTCCAGAGCGTCTATAACGTGGCTGCAGCAAGTCTTCAGTGTTTTTAATGTTCACAGAGGAGAAAGAGGGCTCGGAGCTCCCCAGTCCCCATCATTGCTGCTGGCACTTTCTGTCTTTAACTCCTCTTTGCCCTTTCAGGAGGCAGGAATCAAAGCAGGGTGGAGAGTCGTCATGAAGCAGGACTGAAGTGCCTTTCCTTGGGAGAGCTTTCATGCTGGCAAATCAAGAGACATGTTGTGAACGGACTGACTGAAAGTCAAGACTGCGGGGTAGACAGTCAAGGGAGGTGCTCTCAGTTCCCCAAGCAGTGCGGGGGCTCCTGCCACGTGGGAGTGGGAGAGCCCGTCCAGGCAGCTGGGGAGGATGGCTCTCTTGTGAATCTCCTTGGGGATCATCCCATTATTGAAAACCAGGGGTTTCCAACTGGAAGAGCTCAGAGTTCTTGGAGTAAACTGTGTTGCAGTGAGACACAGAACCATCAGAAAAGTTGTAAACAGATGAAAAGCAAACTGTGTTTATTTGCCCCCCATGTTGACATTTTCAGTTGCAGTTCACACCACCACAGTGATGCGGGGCAGGACAGAGCGAAGACTTCCCCTCTGACCGAGCATAGCGTTCACCCAGGGCGGAAAACTCACCAGACTGCTGGACATGAGGAAGCCTCCAGGGACAGTCCCAGTCCTGGGCGTCAGCAGGTTCTCTTTGGAAAGAAGCCTCTGGCACGGAGCGTTCATGGGGCCGACCCCTCGGGTGTTCCTGCACTGCAGACCGTTCGCACGGGAAAGAAGCGCTACTGGTGCCATGAGTGTGGCAAGGGTTTCAGCCAGAGCTCCAACCTGCAGACCCATCAGCGAGTCCACACTGGGGAGAAGCCCTACACTTGCCCCGAGTGTGGCAAGAGCTTTAACCAGAGCTCACACCTGTACGCCCATTTGCCTATCCACACGGGAGAGAAGCCCTACCGGTGTGAGAGCTGCGGGAAGGGCTTCAGCCGCAGCACGGACCTCAACATCCACTGCCGGGTCCACACCGGGGAGAAGCCGTACAAGTGTGAGGTGTGCGGGAAGGGCTTCACCCAGAGGTCCCACCTCCAGGCCCATGAGAGGATCCACACAGGGGAGAAGCCATATAAATGCGGGGACTGCGGGAAGCGCTTCAGCTGTAGCTCCAACCTTCACACCCACCAGCGGGTGCACACGGAGGAAAAGCCGTACAGGTGCGAGCAGTGCGGCAAGTGCTTCAGTCTGAGCTTCAATCTCCACAGCCATCGGCGCGTCCACACCGGGGAGAAGCCGTACAAATGCGACGAGTGCGGCAAGGGCTTCAGCTCAGCCTCAAGTTTCCAGAGCCACCAGCGGGTCCACACCGGGGAGAAGCCATTCCGCTGCAACGTGTGTGGGAAGGGCTTCAGCCAGAGCTCGTATTTCCAGGCCCACCAGCGGGTGCACACTGGAGAGAAGCCGTACAAGTGCGAGGTGTGTGGGAAGCGCTTCAACTGGAGCCTGAACCTGCACAATCATCAGCGCGTCCACACCGGAGAGAAGCCCTATAAGTGTGAGGAGTGTGGCAAGGGCTTCAGCCAGGCCTCCAACCTTCAGGCCCACCAGAGCGTGCACACTGGGGAAAAGCCCTTCAAGTGTGTGGCGTGTCAGAAGCGGTTCAGCCAGGCCTCGCACCTGCAGGCCCACCAGAGAGTCCACACTGGAGAGAAGCCCTACAAATGTGACACCTGCGGTAAGGCCTTCAGCCAGAGGTCAAACCTCCAAGTCCACCAGATAATCCACACCGGGGAGAAGCCCTTTAAGTGCGAGGAGTGCGGGAAGGAGTTCAGCTGGAGCGCAGGGCTCAGCGCCCACCAGAGGGTGCACACGGGGGAGAAGCCTTACACCTGCCAACAGTGCGGGAAGGGCTTCAGCCAGGCCTCCCACTTCCACACGCACCAGAGGGTCCACACGGGCGAGAGGCCGTACATCTGCCACGTCTGCTGCAAGGGCTTCAGCCAGAGGTCGCACCTTGTCTACCACCAGAGGGTCCACGCTGGAGGGAGTCTGTAGAGGAGACAAGGTGGTGTAGCCCTCAGGTGGCTCCTTCAGAACAGAAGCTTTCACAGGAAAGCAGCTCTCTAAAATGCCATTTTAAGGACTCAGGCAATAAATTCTTTACAAATGTCAGAGTTCGCAGATGAAGAAACACTTCTATAGATACGATCAGTGTTTAAACCAGCGTTCCAAAGTGTCACCATTTGTGACAAAGAATCTTGATGTTTGATAGTCTTCTAGGAAAGAGATTCATGAATGGATTATGGGTAGGACTTTGATAAAAGAATGATGATTGACAAAATTTGATGTCAACTAAAGTGTAACTTCCACATGGGAAGACCTTCTCCCCAGATCTCTGCCATGCAGAGCTGTGGTTGGCTCCAATAGGAGAAAAATTTATTTGAAAAGTGGGTCCCTGTCCTAAATTCATAAATTTATATGCATAAGGACTCCTATAAGTAGCCTTAATAACAGTTTCCAGAATTATTGAAGTACAGAGCGTTATTTAATATCACCATCCACAGGACAAATGTAGACAGCCTCACGAGTGCCCCCCTCCGACACCCAGCCTCAGTTCTTTGTTCAGTGTGTCAGTTTTGTACAATATAAATTTTAGTGTCATTTGTATTTTATAGACTAAAAAATGCTTTTAATTTAATCTAACAACACATGACAATTTACATGATTGGAAGTGTGGGGCACTAATTTATCAAGGTAGAGCTTGACTCTTAACTCCTTGAAAAGTAGTTACTGATGACAAAAAGTTTCTAAATAAACTTGAATTCTTAATTGGCTTCTTCTCATTATTTCCGTCCAGGCTTAGGTCAGTTCCTGTTTCTGTGTAGTTCTTGATCGGGGCCCCGAGGCTTTGGCAGTGGTTTAGTCTCTTCTTTCTGCTCTACAGGATTCCTGAGACTGGGTAATTGATAAGGAACAGATTCCTTAGAGTTCTGGAGTCTGGGAAATCCAAGATCCAGGGACCAGCATGTGGCGAGGGCTTCTGAGTGCATCCTCTCAGCAGTAGGGAGGGTAGGAGAGGGGATGTGGGCCACTCCCAGGACATAACAGCTTGGGTATGTTTGTGACTCGATCACCTCCTAAAGGCTCCCCTCACCACTTGTATTAGGGATTAAGATTTCAACACAGATTCTAGGGGACATGTTCAAACCATAGCCGGCAAATTTTTATTAAGTGCAATGAGTTCAGTGGATTTCCATTTCCACATTTCCACAGCATTCTGTGTGCACTTGTCACTATGAGTGAACAACGTGGGCTGGGGATGTGGCTCAAGTGGTAGCGCGCTCACCTGAATGAACAACGTAAGCTTTGAAGACTGGGTGGCCAGTATGTACCAGAGAGCCCTTTTTACTAACAGATTGTTCACAAAGATATCCTGAGTTTTTTAAAGTAGGGCAGTAATAAATGGTTTGGATAAATCTTGTGTGTTAGTTGCAGCCGTTAAAGACGAGGACATGAAAAGAACACAGGTTATTAATGGGAAAGGTTACAGCCTCCCTGGTGTGATCCAGTCAGTGGAAATGTGTGTCACTGAAGGTGATTGTGGGTATGAGGAGAATGTGCAGAAGAACATGCATCAACAGGCTAACAGTGGCTTACCCTGGCAGGGGGCAGTGGGATGATTTTTGTTTAACTTCAAAAACTTGTTTACAGTAAACTATTAGCAGTTTTACCAAAGCTGTGAAACCAAATAATGCATAAAGGACAGTCTCTTTCAGCAAAATCTTAGTTTTGTTACTTTACCTCATGGCATGTAAACCTGTGCTACAGGGGTCCATAAGAGAATGTTCACTGTAGGTAACAGCAAACTTTCCATCCATCGATTGGATTGTGCACTCCTGCAGTGGCATACTGTGCACAAGGAAGTCACAGAAGGTAAATTTATGATTACTGACATTGGTAGATACCCAGAATATGTTTAGAAAAATGTTCAGAGACAAGATTTGTATGATCATGTGTATATGGGTATGCACATCTACATACATACACACGTATATATATATATGATCTTGATACTTTTAAAGGTAATAGTATTTTCTTGTAATTTCTAAATATGCTTTAAAAACCTTTATGAATACAAAAGATTCAAGAATTACACAAAGAATTCCATATATTTTTTGGGTCTAGCATAACTGCAGTCAGACCTGTTGGTCCACATGTCGAGTGTCTGAGCTGAAAGAACTCTTTTTGACGTGGGGGACACAAGACTAAATCAGAGTCACTCCTAGTGAATTTGGGCTGACTAAATAAAGACACTGACAGAAAGTACCTTTTTCTTTGGGTTCAGTGACCGCTCCTCAGCCACAGCTCCCAAAAGGTGGGCAAGGCAGGCAAGAAAGAGAGGGAGTATGCCTCAAACCCGAGTTTTATTGGGGAGAAGCGATTCAAATGAGGCAAGGGGTACGGTTACAACAAATAGTGGGTGTAATCCAGCCCCATCAGGGATGCCCACTCCTGGAGTTGCACCTCTCTTATCCGAGTGGAGGTAAGGTCCAATTGCAGAGCAGTGGGTGCAATACCAGTTCAGTACCTCTTTACGCTGGACTTAAAGGTGTGTACAAAGTTCCTGTCCAGAGTGGCTCCCCACATTTTGGTGTTGCATCACACGACTAAACAGGTTAGTGTCACTCCAAGTGAATTTGGGGAATAATAAAGACAGACACAGAAAGTACCTTTTCTTTGGGTTCAGTGACCGCTCCTCAGTTGCAGCTCCCACAAGGGGTGGGGGAGAAGGCAGGCGAGAAAGACCAAAGAGAACCAGCACATGCTAAACCCTTCTATTGGGGAGAAGCCATTCAAATGAGGCAAGGGGTCAGGTTTCAGGGTTGAGTCTAGCTTCAGGAGGTCTTGCTGTCAGCAGGTTGACTGACATCTAGGAAGGCCACAACCATCTCATTAGCTATGTGGGGGTCATGGCAGAACAAGTGAAAAGACCAGAGCAAAGCCCCCAAAACAGAGGGGCAACTTTGTTTCAGTCCACTTTGTGTGCTCTCCTGTGTACTCTTTTCTATAGTTCACACACACACACGGCCCATGGCTGGCTTGCCACAGCCCCACACTCATTGCTCAAAGCTATGGTGCACTCAATTCCCACGTGGCAGCTCCAGACGTTTTGGTATTTTTCAGAAAGTCTATCATGTGGCATCTGCAGCACTGACTTCACAGTAACTGGACATCACACTGTGGCCCAAAGCCACAAAGCTTTCCTGAGGAAAGCTCACACAAATACTGTGGCCTTTTCTATTTGTCCTTGGAAGATACCCCTTCTGCCTCAGCCAGTGAACTGTGGGGTCATGAAGGCCCACCAAGGCCAAGGAGGAGAAATTCTAAACACATTATAGGACCACTATGTGTTGATGATATTTCCTATTCTAGTTTATTCAAATTAGACAACTGCCCCATATGTGCACAGCACTGTTTTAGGATCTGATCTAGATTGTCCACATCCTGCAATTTAGTTTACATGTTTGTCTTCAATCTGGATCAGTACCATAGCTTTTTGGTCTTTCATGAAGTGGACATTGCTGAAGAGTACAGGCTAGTTATTTTGAAGAACATCCCTAAATTTGGGTTTGAGTCTTCATGATTAGATACAAGGTAAGTGTGTGTGGCCCGAGTAATCCATGAATGATGTGTCACAACAGGAAATGTGTTGGCTTCATCGGTGATCCTAGTTTTGATCACTTGAATAAACTGGTGACTGCCAGGTTTCTCCGTTCCTGTTTTGTCTTTGAAATTAGTATTTTATGGGGAGATCTCTGTATTTTGTAACTACCCCATTAGTTTTTGTCTTAGTGTTTGCTGATTCTTGCCTGAATCACTTATTACTGTGAAGACTACGAGTAGTGACTTTTGTATTCCATCACTTTTTCTGTATTTAGCAATGGCTTCCTATTGTCAGTATGAGCCCTTGTTTTATGGCACAATAAAAAAAAAAATCTTGAATATTCCCTGCCCCAGATTCTGGAGAGATTATCTAGAGAGCTCAATTTCTTTCAGTGAGGACTAGTATAACCAAGCTCTTGGTCTCCTGTGTACTCATCATTGAGATATCAGGGTTATGTGTAAACTACTGATACCTCCAATATCAAATAAATAACTATTGCACAGTTCTTCTTGTCTTCTCCACCTCCATACTGACTTCTATTTTCCAAGGGGCAGAAACGGGTCATCAATATGTTTACTCATTTGTTTAGGCCTCCAGTGTACAGCAGATAGCTTTAGAATCACTAAATATTATTGCAAAATACAAATTTTGGTAGTATTCAAGAACTGTTTGCAGAAATTTTTTAAATCATTAGACTAGCTATGTATGGACAAAGGACCTTGTTGTAGTTATTTAATCTAATTATTTTTATGCTTATATTCTGTGGGAAGCTGTCTTGCTGAATGATTCGCATTTTCCTTCCCGTGATCAGAGAGGCTCTGTCAGTCACTTTTGCAGTGATCTGGACATTGCCCCAATCCTCGAGGTAGAGGATGTGTCTTCAGGCGTAGGCGTGCTGTCCTGCATCCCCCTGGTCAAATTACACTCACCTGTCCTTGTAACCCTGCCCCTCCTGACCCTTTTTGGATGGAACTTTCTAAGAATGAGGGTCCCCCCAATAAAAACTCACTTCCAAAACTGCTCACTCTCTCTTGCCAGCCTCTCTGACTTTCCTCACTCTCCCATTTGGGGAGCTTGAGGCCGAGAGCTTGATTTAAAGGTAAAGTGTGTGTCTGTTTTACTTGGTGTCCCAGGAAATTCACACCAGCGACCCTTAGTTCAGCTGCCCACACAGGTTAGGGGCAGCAATATTCATTTTTATTACATCCTTATTAAATAACTTCATTAGAAGAAATACTGATATCCATCTTCTCTCTCACGCCTTCAGCACGAGGCCTGGAAATGGGATGTCTGTTTTCTCGAAGTCTGCTTCCCTGGCATGGATTTTCATGTCAAACTGCCCACTGCCCACTGCTCTTCTCCATCCAGTCATCAACAATCTGACTCTCCCTTTTCCTCCCTGACAGATTTTCTCTCCACACTCATTCTCTCCCCCCTGCCACTTCTCTTACCACAGGACTTGCAGGGTACAACATCTAAAACATGGCCTCTCAGTCCTTGGACACCATACACTGTCATCTCACTTTCAAACAAATCAAATTCTGTAACTGCCACTTCCCTCTTGGAGCTCACCTCTTTCATTCTTATTTTTTTTAAAGGCCCCTTTGAACTTAGAAGCATATGGCATCCATCATCTGTCACCTCTTCACACTACCACTGTGTGTCCTCTTGACCAATCTCCCCCCCCCCACCCCAGTAAGCCTGGAAAGGCCAGCAAGTTGCCAGTTGCCCAGAACTTCATCTTACGTGAAACGCTAGCAAGAAGGAAAGCTGGTCATGTATTTTTCCAGTGATTATAGAAAAGGCAGAGAAGAGACAGTTGGGCCAGAGTGTTTGTTGGATGATGCAAGGTATGCTGTGTGGTTCAGATCAGTTGTGGCCTGCACACATTTTGTGCACACTAGTGCCAATACCAGGTCTGTCTGTCTTCAGAATGCTACAGGGGTGATGAGAAGGAGGCTACAGTGTAATGGCAACCCTCCTGGGTTTTTAAAAAATTGTAACAATTGATCAAATCTGAAATTTGTCATCTGTGAGACAGTTTATGAATCGGCATGAGATGGTTGGGAAGCCTCTATAAAGAGCAAAAGAGGAGTGTGGTAGAAGCATTTTAAATACTTTTATATGGGGTTCCATTCCTGATATAGTAAGTAATTCCTGATATACTGAAGTTTCAGCAGATACCAACTTTACATAAACTCTAGACTAAATATTAGAATACTTGATAAGCTTACCTATTTTCTATATTTTAAAATATATGTGTTGGTGTGTATCCAATGGCCCTGGAGAATGAGCAAGTGCAGGCAGATCCCCTGGGTGGTTTCAGCACTGTCAGGAGTGAATGACGGAGTTTTCTGCTTTTTATGGACTGGGAGCAAGTCCCAATTGGCAAAACTGAAGGCAACTAAAACTCTGTGAGGAAATCTGCAGTTTTCCAACTGAAAAAGACTCAGAAGAGTTCAAGCAAATATGATGGAAAATTTGGTAGTGAGAAGACCCTGGGAAGAGAGAACCAAAGGGAGGAATTCCCAAAATGTGTGTATAAATGCCACCACATATCTAGCTAGCGCATACCTTGGCTAGCAAACAGAACAGACTTTAATCAAAATAATGTGAAGAACCTAATTGAGATTTGAACTGCCACACGTGGGAAGCACTTTCAGTCTGAGGCCAGCTGATTTAAATGTCAAATACGATTTAAGAACGAAAATCAGTACTCTCTGGAGGAATATTATAGAACTCAGATATCCTCAGTATCTTAATCACAATTTCCGGCTATGATCCAAAATTACTGACCCAGGGAAAGACAGAAAAACATGACCATTATCAGGGGGAAACAAATCAATGAATATCAACCTTGAGAATCCAGATGGAATTAAGAGGCAAGGATTTTTCTTTAATTTTTGTTTAAAAGAAGCTGGATTTTTTAAACTTTTGTTTAAAAGACCTGCAGGTCTCAGACTACCCTCAAAAAGGCAGTTGTCCACTGATGCTTTAGCAAAGATTTTTCAAAACTTCCATAACTGTGCTTTACAATGTAAGGGAAAAGATTATTATAATGAAGAAATATTACTGAAGAAATAGAAACTAGCGGCTCAGGAGGTTGAGGCAGGAGGATCACAGGTTCAAAGCCAGCCTCAGTAACTCAGCAAGGCCCTAAGCAACTCAGTGAGACCCTTTCACTAAATAAAATATGAAAATGGGGTGGAAGATAGGGCTCAATAGGGCTTAGTGGTTAAGCACCCTTGGGTTAAATTCTCAGTATCAAAAAATAAATAAATAAATATAATACTTTCTGTGATCACTGCAGCTAAACCCTAAATCCTAGGCACGTCCACATTTCCACTAAATGCTCTTCTCTAAATAAATGGTTCTCATTTAGGAAAACCCTACCTGGTTGGTATTGAAGCGTCATTATAACCTCTCATTCTCTGATTTCTGATTGTACATTCTGAACATGCTGCTTTCCAAAAGACATAGTTTTACTGCCACAAACAAAGAGCACATAATTTTAATCCTGCCCCAATAAGAAATATATTCGATGAAATTGCCAAACTCCATTTTATTCAGCATGTATTTCACAGGGATAGAGAAAGATATGGGGTAGGGGGTTTGACAAATATCATTCTAATTTTGCATAGTTCTGACCTCAGAAGATGGATTTAAAAAAAAAAAAAAAAGCTACAGCACCAGAGACAATCATGCCAAACCCTGCCTAGAAGTGCAGAGAACCACAAGTCATGACCAATTCAGGATTAACGAACTACATCAGAGCCTTTCAAAGTGTTACTGTAAATCTTGAACTAACAGTGCTGAAAATTTAATTGTAAAAATAAGCAGTGGTATGTTATTGCAGTTAACAAAACCTTTCAGGCGTAATATGAAAAAAATTAAAAAGATTCAGAGACTGGGGAGAGGGAAGGAGGCAAGTGTAATAATATCCAAAATAGTGCTCTCAATTGCAGCACTAGTTGCATTCTGCATTTTAATTCATGTTTGTTCTTCAAGTTATTTTCTGCAGGTTTCCTCGTCTTGATACAATTTTCAAATATTGTATGTTTTCTAGTTTTGATTCGTTAACAAATAGGTTCTGAACACACCTACCAAATGCTAATCGATGTTAAAGTTGTGGAGATTCAGTAGCAAAGTCCCTGCCCTCAGGGACATGTCTAGTAGACATGTGAATCATTATACCTTTGTAAATGCCTAACCAACTTATTTTTCCTAAGGGCTATCTTTGAATGATAACTATAATTGTCAAACTTCTGAATGAAACCCTTACTTCACCACTTAGAAGGGTGCTGTCCTTAGACCACTGGTTGTGGTGAAACATTTCTTAATGAATGGTTTCCCTTGTAAATTTCCTCGGATAACATTTTTCACCAGCATGGATTTTTGATGAAGTATAAGGTATGAATTTAAACTGAGTGCTTATCACCCCCACCCCCATTTATGAGGTTTCTAATGAGACTAGTTATAAAGACTGACTAAAGACTTCACCGCAGGTTGGGGTTGTAGCTCAGTGGTAGAGCACTTGCCTAGCATATGTGAGGCACTGGGTTCAATTCTCAGCACTGTGTAAATAAATAAAATAAAGGTCCACTGACAACTAAAAGTATATATATATTAAGAAAACAACAAACAAACAAAACATCACCACACGCATCTCATTTCCAAGGTAATTCTCAGGGGTTGAGGGGTGCTCTAATGCAGTTGAAATCTCAGGGATGACCAAAGCAATTACCTCACTCTCCATACCCGCTTGGCTTCTCTCCTGCTTGGCTTCTCTCTTCCCACAGTCCTTGATTTCTAAGGCATTTATCTACTGTGGACTTTCTCTTGGTCTTTAATGTATGAAGTGTGTCCAAAGCTCTTCCCACAGTCTTCACAATTGCATGGTTCTGCTCTATTGAGGAGTCTCTAATGGGTCAAATGAGTCTATGCCTATCTGAAGCTCTTCCCACACTCCTCACACTTTCATGACTTTTCTCCATTATGGACTCTCTGATGGAAAGGAAGTTGTGAATTCTGAATAAATCTCTTCCCACACACTCATATTTGAATTGTTTGTCTCTACTGTAGTCTCTGATGTGTCAACAGACTGGAGTCCCAGAAATACCTCTTCCCACATTCCTTATTAGCATAGGATCTTTCTCCTGTGTGGAATCTCACATACGTGTCTAGACTACATTTCTAGTTGCAGCACTTACCACACTCCTAACATCGGTAGGGCTTTTCTCTGGAGTGCACCCTCAGATGGCAATGAAGATATGAATTCTGAGTAAAGCTCTTCCCACACTTTTCACACTTAAATGGTTTTTCTCCTCTGTGGACTCGCTGATGGTTCAAAAGGTAGGAGGACCATCTAAACCTCTTCCCACATTCTTCACAATTATAGGGTTTCTCTCCTGTGTGAACCATCTGATGCTTATAAAGCTCTCGCCTATCAATGAAATTATTCCCACACTCCTTACATTTATATTGCTTCTCTCTTGTATGGACCATGTAGTGTCTATTAAGGGCTGATTTCCGACGAAACCTCTTACCACACGTGTCACATCTGAATGGTTTCTCTCCTGTATGCACCAAGAAATGCCTGTGAAGTGTTGATTTAACACAGAAGTTCTTACCACATACGTCACACTTGAATGGTTTTTCCCCAGAGTGGATTCTCTGATGTTCCTGCAGCTGTGAATCATGAATGAAGGCCTGTCCACATTCCTCACATTTGTAAGGTTTCTCTCTTGTGTGTAATTTGCAGTGAACATTAAGCACAGATTTACGACTGAAGCCTTTCCCACACTGCTCACATTTGAATGGTTTCTCTACAGTATGCACATTCTGATGAGTTTGCAGCCAGGAGGATCTCTGACTCAATTCCTTTCCACACTCATCATACTTATAGCAATTCAATCCCATGTGAATTCTCTGATGAATACGAAGGCCTGAGCTACAACTGAAGCTTTTTCCACACTCAAGACATCTATGAGACTTGCCTCCTGAGTATAACCATTGAAGGTCAAAGTTGGAGACATCACTGAGGGACTGCTTACACTCATCATCCAGGTAAACTTTCTTTCTTGTGTCAATTAGAAATAATCCTGGCCCGTCCTGGCACAGTGAGCCACCTTGGCTGGGGAACTGAGAGCTGCGAATACTTGAGTCTTGACTGAAGGTTGAGTCACTTGCAATTTGTTCCCAGATTTGCTGCCAAGATAACTCTTCATGTGGTCCTGCTTCTGGAAAAGTCTCTAGTTCAGTTTGGATCCTGCCTCCTATCAGGGCAGAGAATTCAGAAATGTGGACAATGTAAGGCTCTGTTAGAGTTTTCAACATGAAAAAGGACACGAGGCTTTAATGAATACAGGTTTTGTACAGGAAAATGTTGTTTTCATTGTACACCATGGTATCTGGTTGTATGAGACTATTTAAAACACATCAAATCCCAAATGTGACTTACAAGAAAAAATAAAAAGATTTTAATGTGATAAAAATTTTAATGTGATAAAAAGAGTTAACCTATTAATATTTTTTACTGAATTTCCTAGGCAGTCTAGGATCTTAAATTATCAATTATCATAATAAATCATGCATATAATGAAATACTGGTCAACAGAACATTAATAAAAAATGGCATAGTTAATACTTTGTGTCTTTGGATTTATGTTGGATATTCTAGTATATTTTCATGAAGGAAAGAAAGAAACCTTACCAAAAGGAGTCTAGATCTGTTCAGAGAGATAATCGCCAGGCCCTTGTAATACCTAGTTTGGGGAGGATCTTTTATTTATTTATTTGCCTGGGGAGTCATGGGTCACTCTGGAGAGTCTAACAATATGATTTACTATTATGACTTATACACATTTGGGTGGGGATGTTCCCATGTCAAAAAGGCTAACAATGTGATTTAAGGTGGGGCTTTAGGTCATGTGGAATCAGCTGACCAGGAGATTGAAATTAATCACATGGGAAGTTATCAAACAGTCAGACTTATATAATGATGCCTATGGAATGGAGCCACAAAAACAACTCTGAATACCAGGTCTCTGTACAATGTCATACTTTAATCCTGGGGAAATAACATGTCTGGACTCTATGGGAAGAGTATGAGGAAAACCACTTATACACAGTACTTCTCTAGACTCTGTGCTATAGGATTTTCCTATAGGCAAATTGTAATACACATCTTTTCCCTGTAAATTTCTGTAACCATGAAAGTAAAACCATTCAGTGAGTTCTGATTCTTTCTACTTCAAATATAGCACTAGTCCCTCTATAAAAATAAAGCAAAGTTGTGTGAATTAGTCAATGTGAAGGTAGTGCTGGGAAACTACAAATTTTAGTTGGTATAAAGTGAGTGCAGTCTTGGTATAAACTGTCTCTCTAAACTTTGTAGTTGGTTAAATTCATGACATTCATAAATATCAAATACCTGGGAGTGTTAAAATCTTCAAAGTATTTCTGCACAAGAATTTTATAACATGCATACCTAATCTTATACCAAATTAACATGGACGATAACTTGGTTTTGTAAAATAAGAAAAGGACAGACAAGCCATGCATGGTGGTGCACACCCACAATCCCAGCAACACAGGAAGCTGAGACAGTAGAATCTCAAGTTCCAGGCAGCCTCAGCAACTTAGGAGATCCTGTCTCAAAATAAAAACTGAAAAGTGCTGGGGAAGTAGCTCAGTGGTAGAGTACCCCCCGGTTCAATGCCTAGTAGTACACACATACACACACAAGGCAGAGTGGTGTGTGTGTGAACATACCAGTTGTGACAGGAATCTGAAAGCCCACACCAGATATCTATAAAAAGGTGATGCTCCAAATGAAAAAAACCAAAGGTGGCAAGGATTACCAGGTGTGAAACAAAAGTGTGAGGGGCTATGCCTTGGTTGGTTCTACCAGCAACTACTGCACTCTTTGAAAATAGAGTGTCAAAAATTTAGGATGGAATTATGCCTTTATAACCATTTTCAAACCGAAGACTACAAACCTTTAGGAAGCTATGAAATAAATTTAAAACTTTATAGTAAGGATTTAGAAAAAAGGACTAGAATAGAAACTATCAGAGCTTCGTGACAAGCAAGAAAGTTGTTATTACATGAAATGCCTTCTGAAGTCTCCCAGGTATAGCTACACAAAGAGAAAACATCCATCCTGGTTATGGTGAAAGATGTATTTCTCATGCTCATAAAACACTAAAAACTTTGGTCAGGATAGTACCAAGTCCTGAATTAAGTGTTTCAAATTGAATGTTAACTTCCAATGACAAATCTTGGAAAACATTAACAGGTAAATAGGTAACTACTGATACACATGGGAATGCAGATATATTTAATATACTGTCAATTAGAGATAGAAGTTTTATGAGTAGAAGGAATCTCTTTCAGGAAGTTTATGTTTTGAGAGAGCAGTTTACCAATTCCTTCCAGGGTATAAAGTTCACCAGTTCAAAATACAAAATTATATCTCTTATATAATAAAGGGAAAATTGTGTGAAATCTATATTCTTTAACATATTGACAACTACATTTGTTTAAAATATTGATTAAATATATATACTGTGTATTTAAGAAATATGCGCAGAAATATAGGCAGCATTCAGCCACGTCCATCAGCTCCCTTTCATGCACAAGGAAGGCAAAACCTGGGTGCAGTGATGGGCCTTTGAGTTTGGAGAAGACAAAGGGCTGCAGAGAGAAAATCATTCAAAGGAGAAAGGTAGCCTGAAAGCTGGGTGTTGTCTGAGACCTCAGGAAATGAAGACTTCTTTTCCCTTGATTAGGGAGCTGCCTCAGAGGTGGATATCAGGAAGGATTTCTTCCTATAAATGAACTATGGCAGGCTCAGGAAAATTCAGAGTAAAGGCGCGTTACTCAATGTGGTCACTGGAAGAATGCTGGGAAGTTTTCCTGGGAAGCAGGTCAAATGCACATAGTACAACACAATCATGTCGAGGAAAACCAAGAAGGCGGAAATTGAATTAGCAGCCAAAGATTGAAAAGATTAAAAAAGAAAAGAAAGAAAAACTCCCCCCAACAGTTCTGATTCATTTGGTTTGTGTAGCACTCCTTAGCTATTTCAATGACCCTGGAGACAGTGAAGTCCCCCCATCCATTAATTCATTCATTGGGTTAAGTGTTTGCCAATACCTGCAATACACCAGAACTATTCTACAAAGTGAGGACACAGGTATAAACAAAAGAGACAAACTTCCCCTTCTTTGAGATTATATAGCAAAAGGGAGAGATAGGAAAACAAAAGTTCAGATGCTCCACAACTTAAAATGGTATTATACCTTGATAAGCCCATGATTAAGTTAAAAAATACATTTAATATACTTACCTAACTCAACACCAGAGCTTAGCCTAGCCTACCTTAAACATTCTCACAACAACCTATATTAATCTATATCTGGGAAAAATCATCTAACACAAAACTTAGTTCATAAAATACTATCTCACATCCTTTACCCAATATAGTACTGTACAGTATCAGATGTTTACTCTCATGGTTGGATGGATGACCGGGACCTGATTGCTGCTGCCCAGCATCTTAGGAGAGTAAAATAGATGGAAGAGTCAAGTACAAGAACACACATTTGCTTGCTTCACACCTGAATTCCCTTCTCTTTGGGTAGCTGTCTTCATCATCCAAAACTTCTCTTTCCTTATCAAGTGGAATGTATCTTGTTTGAATGGTTGGGAACATGCAGAGACACTCAGGATTAAAACACATGCTAGGTGACATCTAGATAAAATTTACTAGGAATTGAGGTTCTCGTTGCGTATTCAAACTTGAAGGATACAAAAATCACTTCTGGGAGCTGAAACGCCATCAGAGTGAGGAACTAAACTCACCCACTGAGAGCAGGTTCCTGAAGTTTTCCAGCATCACATCTTGGTAGAGCTTCCACTGGGCAGAGTCTAGCAGCTCCAGCTCCTCCCCACTGAAGACCACAGCCACGTCCTTAAACGTCACCATCTCCTATAACATTAAACACACTTGACCTCAATCTTATCAATGTTTACTGGGAGGCAGAGAGGATGGGTGGGAAACTGTTCTGGATTTTGAAACTTGGTCATCTCAAATTTCCCTCTCATGCCATCTGTACCCCCACAATGACACACACAGATTTTCCTGTGATTCACCAGAAGCGCAGTGATGAAAAAGTCCTATACCTTTACTTCAAACACTCAAGAGTACTACTGAGGAGTAACCGTCTAGTGTACAACTGTGCTCAGTTTTGCTGTTTAAGCAACACTTAAAACACAGAATGATACAGCCATGGGGACCACAGAGTGCAGCTCTTCCTGGGTAAAAACCTTCAAGAATATTTGTGTGGAGCAGCAGAGACAGCCTATGGTGCAGTTTTTGGATGCTTTATCCATAAAACAGCTAACAAGGTACATGTCCAAATGCCTTTTCAAAACTGAGCTTCAAATTATGCTGCTGAAAAAACAAACAAACAAAAAACACCTGATACACTGTTTTCAATATTGATTTGGGGGGAACAGTCTATATATAGGAAAGTCGCCACTACACTGTTGCTTAAAAAAGTCAAATGCCTAAATCAATTAAATGTGTATAAGCACAATACACCATAAAAGATGAATATCATGTAACATTATGAACATTACAGTGTATAAAAACAGCACAATTAAACTTACAGTAATCCTAATTTACACAATTAAAACTGCCTGTAATCCTAGCAACCTGGGAGGCTGAGACAGGAAGACAGCAAGTTCCAGGCCTCCCTTAGCAATTTACTGATATCTTCTCTCAAAATAAAAAGTAAAAAGGGTAGGGATTGTAGCTCGGAGGAAGAGTGTCCTTGCATTCAATCCCCAGTAACAGGAAAAAAATATTGCAATTTACAATTCAAGGTGTATCATCAATAGGAATACAATTGTATATACATATGAAGAAGAGTACACAAAGACAAAAATGGTAAACATGTGAGCATGGAAGTATGAAGTGCAATAATTATCTACTCAAACAAGTTCTTCTACTCTATAAAGTAAATAATATGAAATAAAACAAGAATTAATAACAAGGTCAACTCAGAGTGAACAAAGGAAGTCTATGACCAACAAATGTCTTCAAAAAAGAAAACCTGACAATATGAGTTGCAAGATGGAACTTTTACAGTGAGAAAAACATGCCTTACTCACATTGAATGTGGTCATTTTCCCTCCTCCTCCTGGAGTAGGCAGAGTCCTAAGGCCCGTCGATCCCAGGAAAGCAGAACTGTGCCTAGAAAGTGCCACAGAAGGCAGAAAACAAGACATGAAAGGGTGGCCAGGGTGCTGCTCACCAACACATTCCAGTTCAGTGGATTAGCATGTGAATGCTCTCAGCAGCATTATTCATAAAGCAAAACCAAAATCAACTAAAATGCCCTCCTGTGGATAAATGGATAAACAAATTAGGGCATACACATACACGGGCATGTTACTCTGAAACTAAAAAGGATGAGGTACTGACATATATAACACAGCTTAACTTGAGGACATTAAACTAAGTGAAAGAAGCCAGTCATGAAGGAGCACATATAGTATGATTCTATGAAATATCTAGAATGGGCAAATGAATGTATAGAAAAGGTAGATTAGAGGTTGCTACAGATTTGGGGTGAGAATAAGGTTTAACTATAAGTGGCATATAGTATATAACTGAGGAAAGAAAACAATCTCAACTAAGTTAGATGATGGTTACTCTACTAACCTCAGGTTCTACTAATCTAAAGTACCTTAGGATCACTGAATTGTACACTTGAAATGGTGATATGTAAAATATAACTCAAAAAGTTGGAAAACAATTATTAACCTACATGTTATTTAAATAGCTGAATTCAGAGTCCACATTGATTGAATATACTTGAATGAATGAATTAAAAAGGGGGAGAGGAGAAGTTTTCTTTACAACAGAATATCCACTAATAAAATATCTCCCCAAAAGTAACTTTATGACAATTTTTTCCCCTTTTTTGGTACTGGGGATTGAACCCTGGGTGTTAAACCACTGAGACACATCCCGTTCTTTTTGAGAGTGTCTCACTAAGTTGTTTAGGGCTTCATTAAGTGCTGAGGCTGGCCCCAACCTTATGATACTCCTGTCTCAGCCTCCCAAGTCATTGGGAAGACAGATGTTTGTCAGCACACCCAGCTCTTAAGATTGTTTTTGTAAAGGGAACTTTATGATGGAAAAATCTGATAGATATTATTTGGCCAAGTAAACCAAATTTAGATTACCAATACAGGAACAAACAAATATCACTCAGTTCCTGGCATGCCACAATAAAAAGGACCCTTCACCACTTCTGTAGCATCCCTGCCAAAAAAATGCATAATCTAAACCTAAAGAGAAAACATGTTAGACACTACAATGAATACCTTTGTCCAAAATGATCTGTCTATATTTTTCAGTTACGTGAAGAAGAAAAAAAGACAAAACCTATCCAATCTTTCCAGTTTAAAGAGCATAAAAACATGGCAACTAAAGTGAATACATTAAACTTTGACCTGAGGGAAAATGTTCTAAGGACTTTATATGAAAACCAGAACAGATTTAAATATGAGACTGCCAATTAGACAACATGCAGTTACATAGCACAATCTAATAGATAACAGAAGTAATTATTAGTAGTCTTTTAATTGATATTAATATTCCATAGATAACATTATCAAGTTTAGTATTTAAAATTATCTAGCATATTATGTGAAACCCTATAACTTGATCTTCCCAAATGCCTCTTATCAAGCATTGATGAATACCTAGACTGTGGGCTTCCTTGCTGGAGAAAGCTAAAAAAATGCACTATCTCTAGAATTCATAGTGAATTTATTTGGCTGAGGAGGATAAACAAACCAAACAGACAAAACGTGGTAAATTTTCCCAAAAGATGAGAGGTGCTTCTTATGGTTTTTCACAAATTTCTATATATTTGAAATGATATAAAATTTCTTAAATATTAGTAAAGTCAAAAGAGTAGTAAGAAAAAGAATAAAAAGAATAAAAATGAGCATGATAATGTAGCAATTTGCTAGTTTACTCTCTTGGAGATGTTTGGAAATTTCCAGATAAAATAGATAAAAAGGAAAACAAAAAATATGATAACATTTTTCATAAATAACTACTAATGCACACAAGGAACCACTAAAGAAAATGCTTTCAAAGTTTAACAGTTACTATCCTATGCTGGATTCACAGGCAGTCAAAAGCTTTTTCCTCAAACAGGCTTGGTGGCGAACACATAGGAAGATCACAAGTTCAAAGCCAGGCATTAAGCAACTAGGCCAGACTCTGTATCAAAATAAAAAATAAAATGGACTAAGGATGTGGCTCAGTGGTTAAGCACCCCTGGGTTCAATCCCTGGAACCAAAAACAAAAAAACAAAACTTTTTCCTCCTAATGTTTCTGAATACTCCACAATGATATGATTCCATAAGTATGTAAAACATTAGGGGTAAACTAAGGGAAAAGAGGGTGTTATTAAAAATTCAAGAAAAATCCATGAGCCTTGTTATCACGGTCTCTACTATGGAGTCCCAACTTATTCTCCAATTAATTCCAAAAGTTCTATGGCTCAATGAGAATGTATCTGAGAGGTTATGAACTCAGGCTATAAACCAGGCCTGCCTAAGTTCTAACCCTAACTTTCACTCTTCCTGGTTGTGTATGATCAAGTAACAAATACTCCCTGCACTTCAATCTCCTCATATTTAAAATAAGAAAAAAAACAAAAAAAAAACCCTGTACCTCTCCACAGAGCCATAGGGTGGCCTACATGTATTTATTTGTCTAGAGTCCTTAAAATGAAGATAGCAATTAAGGTCAAAATTCAGGCCAGAGCCCATGTCCTATAATAGACTTGCATATCCCTGTAAGAGAAAAAAGTCAGGTCGCACTCACCAGGAGCTTTGCTGTCAGTAGTCAAGAAGCCACTACCTCTACCTCCCCTCAGTCAGGCTGGGGAGAAAAGCGTGCTGTTAAATATGTGATCGTGTCACAGGCTTGGACAAAAAAAGTTCAATCACGGCCTCCCTCTGCTCAAGTTGGAGACAACCCCACCCTTCCTAAAAGAGAAGAAAGTGGGCACCAGAATGAACGGAGAGCTCCTGCAGAGCCAGACAGGAGCCAGAACCCCCGCAGCAGGAGCTCTCTGACCCCAGCCCGGGGCCTCCCGCCCATTCAGGGAGGAGAAAAGCCACCATTCACTAGGAGCTCGTAACTGTTTAAGTCTTTGCTTTGAAGGCCCTCTTGCAATTCCAAACCATGAGATTAGGATGGTACATTCTAAAGAACGACAATGAGGCCCCCCGAGATCGGGTAAGTCCCCAACGTGGGCCACCGAGGAAGTGGCCGCGCGAGCGGTGGAGGGGGGCGGATTAGGCGAGCCGAGAGCCCCGGAAACCCTCAAACCAGGCGACACACGCCCTGACCAGGCCACGAACCCGGGGCTTCCACCACAGAGAGCCCCAAACGCGAGCAGGCTTCGGGGAAAACGGAAACTGCGGCCGTCACCGCCCCAAAGCCCTGCTCTCCGCGGAGGCTTCCTTTCCCCTCAACCGAAGGCAGGTCATGGAGGGTGCCGGGGGTGGGGGCCAGGAAATTCGGAAGGGCTCCCAAGACCCAAGAAACTGATCTTAACTACCACGGGAAAAAAAAGACAGCGACTTCCCACTCAAGGAGCAGAAATATCTATAACTCAGCCCACCTTCCCGAATACACTTCCCAGAATTCAAGGCCTTCGCCCTTGTAGGCAGAGACACCCGCAGGCCACAGATCGCCTGGACTACATTTCCCAGAATTCCCAAGACCGGCCTGTCAGAGCGGAAGTACATGCGTGTCCACAAGCGTCTGAACTATATTTCCCAGAAGACTTAAAGAAGCCGTTTCCTTTTCAGCTAACTTGGCGGCTATACTGCTCTGAGCTCATGGGAATTTATGTGAACTGGTCTCAGTGCTCATGTTTTCCCTCTTCCTCAAAAAAAATTATTCCATGGACGGAGTAAATACCTTCAAGCCTTGCAGGGTTATTAAAACAAATTTGATATGATCTTCAAGGAATTGACAGGGAATGACTATGGGGACTCAGTAGAGAACTGTGTGAAAAGGTGTTTAGCATAATTTACAGAATGGGCGAGGTAGACTGGTATCTAATTGTAGTTTTAACATACATGTTCTGTATTGTAAATGAAACAGGAAACTTTTTGGTTTTCAAAGGTCATTATTACACGTTGGGATCCGCTTTGGAAATACAGACCTTAAGTCCTGAGCAAGAGATACTGAACAATTATTTGCAATAACTTGGCTTTACCTCCGCTCAGATAATGAGGCGTGGCTCCAGGAGTAAGCCTTACCCGGTGGAGTTGAATTATACTCACCTGTTCATTTGTAATCCTACCTTTGCCCCCCCCCTTTTTTTTTTTGGATAGAATATTCTAAGCAGTAGCATCCCCCAATAAAAGCCATCTCCAGAACATACATGGGGCAAGCTCTCTCTCGCTCTCTCTCATCAGCCTCTCCTCTTGCCCCCGCCCCCCATGGGAGCCTGAGGCCAGGAGCCAGGGAAGCCATCCTGAAGCTTATAAAAATGTATTCCATGTCTGCATGGTATTTTGTGTCACCCCAAATTTACATGAATGACTTTCGTTCAGTTGCCCATGCTGGACAGGGGCAGCAATTACATTTTTGATAAATTATCCAAATATTTTGCCCAATTTTATTGGATTTTCCCACCATTTCCCCCTCATCATTTAAGTATTATTCATATACTCATGATTCTTTTTTTCTTGCTAATATTTTCTGCCAGTTTTTTTTTCTGGTTGTTTTTCTTTTTTTGCCATGAAAAGAAAATTTTTAAGGCTATGGCTTTTTTTTAGCTGTATTTTATGTATTATTTTTATATGGTGCTGAGGATCTAACTCAGTGCCTTACACATGCTAGAGAAGCACCCACTGAGCCACAATCTCAGCCCATGAAAAATATTTTTAACATAATGTTTAGAAAATATTTTGAGAGGTTGGGGATGTAGCTCAGGGGTAGCATTCTTCCCTAGCATATGCCAGGCTCTGGGTTCATTCCCCATTGCAAAAGAAAAAAAGAAAAATAATATTTTTGATATGTAATTCACAAAATTGGCCTTCTTTAACGTGTACAACAGAAGTGACATTGCTACATTCACAGTGTTGTGAAAGTAACACTTCTTCTTCTACAACATTTCTGGAGGAGTTGGGACCATCAGCCCCACTCTCCTTTGACATCTAGGAAGTGGCAGAGGAGCCACAAATGGAGCTCAGTCAAAGGGTAAATGTCATTAACCACACATACATAGTGAAATTTCCATAAAAATCCCTTTGAGCATTCAAAGTTGGTGAACACAACACTACACCTTGATAGGTGCTGGGAGGGCCATGCAAGGGCAGAGAAACTGCACTGCCTCCCCCTCCCCCAGGTGCCTCACCCTATGCACCTCTTTCTTGTGACTCAAAACGGTTTTATCTGTAGTTATAGATTGGCAAGAGAAAATAAACTCTTTTCCTGAGTTCTGCAAATCATTCTAGGAAATGATTGCATCCAAGGAGCGAGCTAGTCAGTCAGAACTAAAAGAGGCCTGGGACCTCAAGTTTGGACTTGATTAGGAGCAATCATGAAAATGAGCCCTTAATCTGTGGGATCTGGTGCTTGGCATCAGAAATGAAATGAATCATTAGACTGGACCTAAATCTGGAACTCACTGTGGAGTCTGGCTCCCAATCTTTATCACTAGGCTGCTGCCATGACCCACACATCTTGCTCGTGACATGCCCAGCCAAGATAAGCTGTGTCCCGCCACGAGTAGTGAGCTGTCTGTGAAGTACAAGGAAAAAAATCACATGACACAGAAATAATTCTGGAATTGAGGGTGGGATGGCTCTGCAACCTTAAGGGTCCAGCTTCCACACTAGAAGGAGAGGACAAGTGAGCCAATGTTTGGTTTATTTATAACAAGGACATCAAAGGCAGGGATAAGGCCTCAAGGGTGGAGTCTTGCTTCGTGATGTCTTGTGATCTGCAGATTGATTGACATCTTGGCAGGTCACACCCATCTCAGGTGCAGTGGGGGATCTTAGGCAGAGCTTGAGGGGGAGGTTCACCTGCATCAGGCAATCAATCCCTGAGGGGGTACTGCCCCTTACCAGCACGGGCAGCCAAACTAGAGGTCACTTGAGTGAATTTCCTAAGGTATCAAATAAAACTCAGACACACAATTTACCTTTAATTCAAGCCCCGGGATGGCTCCTCTGCCCTTCTCAAAAGAGGATATACAATCAATCAACAAATACATGAAAAAATGCTCACCATCTCTAGCAATCAGAGAAAAGCAAATTAAAACTACTCTAAGATACCATCTCAGTCCAATAAGAATGGCAGCCATTATGAAGTCAAACAACAATAAGTGCTGGTGAGGATGTGGGGAAAAATGTACACTCATACATTGCTGGTGGGACTGCAAATTGGTGCAGCCAATTTGGAGAGCAGTATGAAGATTCCTTGGAAAGCTGGGAATGGAACCACCATTTGTCCCAGCTATTTTCCTTCTCGGACTATACCCAAAAGACCTAAAAAGAGCATACTACAGGGACACAGCCACATCAATGTTTATAGCAGCACAATTCACAATAGCTAGAATGTGGAACCAACCTAGATGCCCTTCAGTAGATGAATGGATTAAAAAAATGTGGCATTTGGGTTGGGGATGTGGCTCAAACAGTAGCGCACTCGCCTGGAATGCGTGCGGATCCTCAGCACCACATACAAACAAAGATGTCGTGTCCGCCGAGAATTAAAAAATAAATATTAAAAAAATGTGGCGTTTATACACAATGGAATATTACTCAGCACTAAAAAATAACAAGATCATGGCATTTGCAGGCAAATGGATGGCATTAGAGCAGATCATGCTAAGTAAAGTTAGCCAATCCCTATAAAACAAATGCTGAATGTCTTCTCCGATATAAGGGGGGGTGACTCAAAATGGGATAGGGAGGAAGAGCATGAGAAGAAGACTACCACTAAATAGGGAAGAGAGGTGGGAGGGAAAAAGAGGGAGAAGGGGAGTTGCACCGAAGATGGAAGGAGAACCTCATTGTTATACAGAATACATATATGATGTTGTGATGAGAAAAAGAAAAAAAAAGTGTGTCACATTAGATTGGATAGAGAGAAAGGATTGGAGAGGAGGGGAGGAGTAGGAGGGATAGGAAGGGCAGCAGAATAGAATAGACAATATGATTGATGTATGTACATTCCATGTATGTATTATATGTCAAAATACATTCTGCTGTCATGTATGACTAAAAAAAATAAAAATAAATCGTATGGTTAAAAAAAATATATGATTAGCTACAGCCTAGTCAATCCACCGGACACAGGGGTACAGCTTAACTAGCTAGTTGTTTACAGCCTACTCAGTTAACTGGCCGCAGCGTGTTCTGTGACCAGTGAAAGCTCAGTCACTAGGTTTAAGTGTTTTGGGTTTGGCCTGCTGGGCCCAGGGCAGGTGTCCAGTCCAAGTTTAACAGGCCTGATATTCCTAGAGCAGAGGATTTGGGGGCAGTAGTCTCATTTTTCTGAGTCTTTCCTGAGTTCCTCAAGCATCTTCAAGGACATCTGTGGGACATCTTTGAAGATGCTGAATTTCTCCTGTGAAATCTCAAACTTCAGCTCCTGCTCATCCCAGTGCCTGCCTCACAAACTACCTGCCTGCTCTCTCGCCCACGTCCTGTGTGGGAGGCAGAATCGGGGTCCCTCTTCGTGGAGTAGGCTGGCTGCAGAATAAAAGCTAAAAGAAGGAAATGGAAAAAAAAACACATCACAGTACACAGGAACTAATTTTAAAGAGCAGGGGCGGATGGCCCTTCAATCTTAGGGATTAAGCTTTCTCACTGGAAAGAGATGGAGCCTGTGCTTGCTTTGTTTATATGGGGGACATCAAAGGTTTTCCATGGAATGTTCTTTGCCAAGTAAGGTAGGGGATGGGCTGTCCAGTTCCCAATGGGCTACGC